CGCTTCGAGCGTCGAATACCTCGGCCATATTGTCTCCGCTGAAGGCATCCGTATGGACACCTCAAAGGTCACAGCCCTCGTCGAGTACCCCCCACCCAAGACCCTCCTCCAACTCCGTTCCTTCCTTGGCCTTGCCAACTATTACCACCCGTTCATTCACAACTTTTCCGAGATCTCTTACCCTCTCCACGAACTCACCCGCAAGGACGAGCCTTTCCATTGGAACGATCGCCGCTAACAAGCTTTCGACTTACTCAAGCAAACCATTACCACGGCCCCTGTCCTCAAGATCGCCGACCCCACTCGCCATTTCTATGTCACCACTGACACCTCTGGCGGAGTGGACGGAGTTGTTGTATAACCCCTTAACGGAATACAGCTCTTCATCCCATGTTTCCTGATCCGGGATAATCAAAGCGCGAAGAAGTCGAAACACAGTCTGGTTGATCTCCGCAGCCAAACCGTTGGCTTCGGTGTGTCGGCCAGATGTCATACACAGCTTGATCCCCAACTGAGACGTGAAGTCCTTCCATTCAGTACTAATGAAGCGCGGATCCCGATCGCTCACAAGAGTCTTCGGGGTTCCGAACTGCCGAATGTACTCCTGTTGGAATTCATGAATCACTAGTTCTGTTGGGGCATGAGGCGGCAAAGGGATCAGGTTGAGGAACTTAGAGAATCGGTCAACAATCACCATGACCTGTGAGTAGCCGTTCTTACTTGCCTTTCCCATGTCGGTGAAGTCGACGGAGACCGACTCCCCGGGACCATCGAGAATGGGTAGGGGTGTGAGTAGCCCCATCGACTTTTGTCTGCATGGTTTGATTCGTTGACAGACTTGACATTCAGCCACAAACTTTTCAGCAGTCCCTTTCATGCTAGGCCAATCAAACTGTCTCAGCAAATTTGCGTACGTTTTTGCCATGCCGAAGTATCCGCTCCGACCATGAGCCACATCCAAAAAGTGCGTGCGGAGAGGCTCATGGTTGCGCACACACAAACGGTCGGCCCGGGTCGTGGTTCCCGTAGCGACGAAAAATCAGTCCTCCATACTCGTGAAAATCAGGCTGATTACTAGGATCAACCCGCAGCCGCTCAAGGATGGAACTAAGTTCCGGATCCTTGGCTGTCTTCTCTACGAGTTCCTCCTTCAGTTTTTTCCGGAGGTCGTAGGATTTCACAAGGCAAGTCATCTACTCAGGGTGGCGAGACAATGCGTCAGCGACTCGATTATAACAACCCTTTTTGTGACTTAATTCAAAATCGAAGATGTCAATCTCATGGAACCAGCGAAGCAAGGTAGGGGACAGGGTAGTTTGCTGTTTGATCCACTTCAAAGTCTCATGATCTGAGAAGACTTTGAAGTGGCGTCCCAAAAGATAGTGTTTCCAGTGATCCAACGCCATACGCAAAGCATAGAGCTCGCGCATGTAGGTGGAAGTGACTACCTTTACGCTAGGCATGCGTTTGCTGTAGTACTTGAGTGGCCTCAAGCCATCGCCGTCATCTTGTTGCAGCACTGCACCGATTCCATACTGACTTGCATCCGTGGTAACTACAAATGTCAGTTTGGGATCTGCAATGCGGAGTACCGGGTAACTTACCAAGGCGTCCTTCAAGGCTTGAAAGGCGGTCATGCACGCGGTGTCCCAAGAGTAGGGAACATTCTTACTTGTTAGTCGAGACAAAGGACGCGCAACAATGGAGAAGCGGGGCACAAACTTCCGATAGTATGACGCGAGACCAAGAAAAGAACGGAGTTCGCGAATGTTCACGGGCTGAGGCCAGTTGCGTATGACCTCCACCTTGGTTGCTTCAGGCTCTAGGCCTGCAGTAGACAACCGGTGCCCAAGATAGATGACACTATCCTTCCCAAACTCAGATTTCTCTAAGTTGAGATGGAGTTGCGTCTTCTTGAGGATGGTCAGTACCTCCTCAAGGTGCTTGAGGTGTTCCTCCATGGACTTGCTGAACATCAGAATGTCATCGAGGTAGACCACCACGAACCGGCCAATCTGTTCGCGGAGGACACATGAGGCTTTGGAAGGTGGTCAGTGCGTTCGTGAGACAGAAGGGCATTACGGTAAACTCGTAAAGCCCATCGCGTGTTTTGAACGCAGTCTTGTGCTGGTCCGCAGGATCGACTTCAATCTGGTGGTAGCCAGACTTGAGATCGATCTTGGAGAAGACCTTGCACCCACCTGCGGCATCAAGCAAGTCATCTATACGAGGCAATGGATAGGCATTCTTTCTTGTGATGCGGTTTAGACCGCGATAGTCAATACACATGCAGAGTTTGCCTCCTTTCTTCGGAACAAACAACACAGGAGCACCAAATTCAGATTCGCTAGATTTGATCCACCCCTTGTCAATCATCTCATCGATCTGTCGCCGGAGTTCCTCCAACTCGCCGGGTCCCATTCGGTATACGCAACCCTTTGGAGGAACAACACCTTCAACCAACTCGATGGTGTGTCGGACCAATCGCGTGGGGACTCCATATGGCTCGACCAGAACTTCCAGAAACCGATCGAGGAGGTTTTGGATGTTTGGTGGGACCGGTGGGGGTGGGGGATCAGCAAAGGGGTTGGTCGCGGATAGAGACGACTGAATCTGAAGTAGGATCATTCGGACCATTAGAGGGTAGAGAAATAGAGGTGCTAGAAGTAGAAGAACTTGAAGTAGGATTACTAATCGAAGTAGTAGTGGTATTAGCCGCAAAAGTAGATGGCACATGGGTAGGACGAACAAAGGCAACATACAATTGTTCTTCCTCCTTGTGCTTGCACTATTTCTTGCAGAACCGCATAGCATTCAGAAAAGTCACTGGGGACCCGTGCTTCTCATCCACGAGGACAGGAAGCTCGTTCCCTCCAGCATCTTTGATCATGAAAAGTGACTCCTTCCACTTGGTCCATTTGCATTGGGACTGCAACCAGCCCAAGCCAAGGACAGCGTCGAAGGGGCACTTGTCAAGAACATAACATAGAAGTTCAACGTGTGTGTGACAGTTTTGTCCTTGTCAAAGGTAGTGCGCACACATTTGACTGCATGCGTAGAGGAGACAACTTCTTTGTTGCCAACTTGGGTCCGACAAGGGTTCTGCAAGGCCACTTGCTTCATCCCCAAGCCCACTTTGCGTATCCCGTGAGGCGACATAAAGTTAGCCGTAGCACCACAGTCAACCAAACACGGAGATAGCGGTGGTTTATGAGAAGTTTGAAGAAGATCAACTTCACCGTCCCCTGGGCACGCTGCTGTTTCATCTCAGCCCAATGCTCCAAGTGGTAGTGAAAATCGACCGTCCCAGACTCCTCCCAAGGCTCGACACACAAAACGTTACTCACCTCAGCCTTGTGTTTAGCAGATGATTGGGCTTCAAGGGAGGACTGCTGATCTGCCTCAGATTCAGTCTCCCCTGCTGTAGAGTTTGCTGAAGTTTACTCTTCGCCCGGTTCTGGTTTCCCTACAGCCTATACCAATCTTGTACCTTATGATTTGGTTTTTGGCAATGCAGGCATACCCCTTCTGAGTCTATCCCGCCAGTCATTTTCAGTAATCCGGAGGTCGACCCAAGGTTTAGTAGTCGCATCCTCCGGTTTAGGTGGGATCTTGACTCCCTTGGGAAGTTGGACATAGTTCTTCCCTGCACTTCGATTCGGTCCCTTTGCAGTGGCAGTCTTTTTAAAGGCAGTAAATTTTTCTTCTTCTTTGTTTGCATCAGACTCATGGGCTGAAGAACAAGCTATATCACAGTCCTGTTCTTGGTCGTCACCAAGAGTGGGGTCATCTGCATCGGCTTCTTCTTCGGCCTCCAGCAGGTCATGCACAACAAAACGGTTGCTGCCTTTGAACCGTCTGCCGCCCATGGGCTTTTTGCTGCCTGCTGTGGTGACGAGGTCTACAGCCTCAAGACTGACTATGTCCTTCATCAAGGTGAACCAGTCAGTGTAACCAATGAAGTCCCTGCCCAGGCGATTAGTAAAGTTGGTGGGAACCGCGCCTTTGACCACATCCAAGCAAGATTGCGAAGTCAGTTCCAATCCGGGTGTAGCAAACATCTTGCTACGATAGGTCTGCAGGCTTTTCATGGAGCCCGTCCACTTGCTGCGCTTGATTTTGTCAAGCTGAATTCTCGCCCTTACTGCAGCATGTGGATCTAGGTATTGTGAAATGAGGAGTTCCTCGAGGGAGGCAACCGGGGTGGCCTTAAGCCATCTTGTTAGTTGAATTTTATGAATCCCAGCTCGCGTAGCTTGGACCTCTAAGAAGCCCCGCACGGCCGATTCGACATTCATCCCCATGATCACGGACTGGTTCTCAGGTTGAGTCCCCAAAATCTCAAAATATGCCCTCATGGAGCTGATCTTGGATTCGATGTCTTCTTTGTTGTCGTACTTAGACGGTATTTGAACCGCCTTACGATCCACATAGGGACCGGCGTAGCTGGGACCAGCTCCTGCTGGTTCCAATCTTGGGGCTGCACCAGTTGCAAAATTTCCAGCCTCGCTGCTTATCACAGCAACAACGAAATCTGCACCTTTTGCAGGTCCCGAGGGGGTTGCCAACACATTCAAGGAAGAAGATACAGTAAGAAAGGCAGAGGTAGTTTCAATTCCAGCTTCAAATCTTAGGGGGTAGAGGAAGAGGGTTGGCCACTTGGGCTTGTCGCAGCTCAGCCACCTCCCTTGTCAATTCATGGTACTTGCGGGTCATATCAATCAGATCATCCTGAAGTGTTTGCAACTTTGTGAAGACTTCAGCGATCTGAGTGGTATGATCCTCAAGATTCCTGACTTGAACAAGGGCTGTGAGTATAGACTGCAACTGTTCCCCACACTGCTCTTCAGTCAGTGAGCGAACAGTCTCTAGGATGGCCACTTGCCTTCTCAGCAAGGTCTCCTTCCTCTCCTTCTCTGCCTCCTATTCCCTTTTGATTGCACTATCTAGGAGTGCTTGTAGATATGGTTTTTCGGCATCACAGGCTGCATCTAACAAGGCCCGCTATTGAATTGAAGTTAGTTGAGCCATTATTGGACCGTTAGTGTTGACAGGTGGGTCAGAGAGTCGCCACTCAGGAAAAGAATCAATTAGACTCTCAAGAGGTTCACTCTCCCTCTCACTTGGATGAACACTCCTTTTCCCAGTCCTTGCCCACTTCAGATGGTCACTTTCCCTCTCTCCCTTTTCTCTCTCCCTCCTCTCTCTCTCTTCTTTTTGGTTGCAAGTCTCCACGGGCATCGAAAATAAACTCGGAGAAACAAACTGAAAAGCTCAGAGAAGAGAAGGTAGAACTCCTAGCCGAAGCGGCTTTTCATTTGGAAGTAGAGAGCAACATATCAAAGAAAGACAAACAAGTTCCAATGAGAGGTCTGATCCAGCGACCCAGTCTGATCAGACTGCATACGAGGTCCTCTCGAGTCCAGTCTGACCAGCTCCGTGACCGTACAACAAATCAGACAACGAGTGACTAAATGCAACAATGGAGAATTGAGTCGTGTACAGGGTGCAAGTCAAGCCACAGACAGTGCAATCCAAAAGACATGCGAAACGTCTCAGCCAAGGACCCCTCGGCAGTGGGTGTCCTAATCCAAGAAGAATGAACTAGTACCTCGGTCAAGAAGACAAGAGGTCAATGCCTAACCGATTTGGGTCCAGAGGCTCTTCTTGTTTGGGCCCGATCCTGCTGGGTCCCAGGGGTCCCACGTAGGTCTCAACCAGGTCCCAACCAAGAGGAGTTCCACATAGACTTAGTTCAGTCTCTACTGCACTGAAAAACGAAATTTCAACTTCGAGCAAAACCTACAGACTACAACCGTTCAGAGATGAAAAGACAAAGCACTGTAGAAAGACTCGACATTTAGGTAAAGATACTTCATTTTCCATCCATCAGGTGAGTAGGTAGATCACATGCATTCAGTCACACGATCAAGACCACAGAGGAATAGGAAAAGAAACCCAGAGTACCCCAACAGGACAATCAATACCATACACACATACATGGGCATCCCGTAGGTGCACGACAGTTACCTGAGTGGCCTTGAGCTTCGAGATGAATAGAACTCTTCCCCCTTCTCATGTGGTCCTCCTGACCCCTCTAACGCTACCCTTACACTAGTGTCCTATCTCCTAGGAGGGTCTGACTCCAACACCAAAGTGCAATGCCGGATCCCCCGTCGATGCTGAAGAACAAAGTAGCAACTTACAGTCCGTAGATGCTGAGTGGTCGTCGACCCTCAAGCTCGCCTACTTGAGGGCAACCCTTAAGTTGCCAAGTGTCTCCCTTGAATCAGATTCCAGGTGCGAGTGCCTCTCACTATCGCCTCTCTCAAATCACTGCATGAAGTCTCCTCGAAATGTCTCGCCACCCTAATCTCACTCTCAAGCAACCTGGTTAGGTTCTATGTCAACCCCTTATGACCTAACCAGGTGGGGGCAGCTTCCCTTAGCCACGCTGCCCCACTTCCCTCAACCAACCAACCCTAACCCTACGTGTTGCCCTCAACCACTTAGGTTAGGGTTAGGGCAGCAAAGTCAACTCTCACCAGGAAGTAGAATCCGCTCTGATACCAATGTTATGACCCTGGCCAATTTCGAGATACACATCCACCGGAAAGTACAATGCCATCCAATTGCAGAAAGAAATGAATGAACTTCAGAGGAGAGAGAGAGGATTATAAGAAGAAGAAGACGTAAGAAAGAAGAAGAAGAAGATGTACACCAGCAAAGACAATGACAAGGCTCTTCTTCTTCGCCCAACAATCTCCTCCTCCTTATCTCCCCCTTCTCTTATTCATACAAAAAATAATAATACAATGTTGAATGACTGATCCAGAATCAATGTCCGAGTCCCTCTTCTACTGCAGGTATCACTTAAGGTCCACCATAGCCATGGCCGCCTCTCCCACTCTCTTCACTCTCATAGGCAGAGGCTGTGGCGGACTACTGGGCTCTGCTCAGATGCCCAAAGGACAACCCAAAGCACCTGTGGCTGCTCTATCTCAGGCCGCCATGCCTGACCCTGCCTTGAAGCTTCTTGGTGTAGCTCTCCCCA